GGCCACAGCAAACATCATACTCACCGGTGAGAGACTGGAAGCTTCTCCTCCAAGATCAGGAACAAAGCAAGGATGCCCGCTCTTGCTACTTGAATTCAACACAGTATTAGAAGTCTCAGCCAGAGCAATTAGGCAAGAAAAGGAAACAAAAGGCATCCAAACTGGAAAGAAAGAAGTAAAATTGTATCTGTTCTCAGATAACATGATCTTATATGTAGAAAACCCTAAAGATTTCACATACACACACACACACGCACACGCACATGCACACACACACACAAAACCCTGTTAGAACTAATAAATGAATTCAACCAAGTTGCAGGATACAGCATTAACACATAAAAAATCAGCTGCCACTTATCCATACACAAACAATGAGCAATTTGAAAAGGAAATTGTGAAAACAATTCCACTCACAATAGCATCAACAAGAATAAAATACTTGGAAATAAACCAAGGAAGCGAAAGACTTGTACACTGAAAACATTACTGGAAGAAATTAAAGAAGACACAAATAAAGGCAAAGACATCCTGTGTTCGTGGGTTGGAAGACTTAATATTGTAACAATGTCCATTGACCCCAAAGCAATCTGCCGATTCAATGCAATCCCTATCAAAATCCCAATGGCAATTTTACAGAAATAGAAAAAAAAAAAAAAAGTCCTAACATTTCTATTGGATCTCAAAGGGCCCTGAACAGTTGAAACAATCTTTAAAAAGACAATGTTTGACTCCTCACACTTCCTGGTTCCAAAACATATTACACACAAAGCTACAGTCATCCAAATACTGTCAGACTGGCATAAAGGTAGATGTACAGACCAGTGGAACAGAATAGAGTCAGATGTAAACCCTCACGTATGCGGTCAAATGAGCTTCAACAGAACACACAATAGGGTTCAGACAACCTCAACAGACAGTGGCGGGGAAACGGGATATGCGAACACAAGAAAGTGAAGTTAGACCCTTACCTTAAGCCGTATATAAAACTTAACTCAAAAATGGACTAAAGGCCTAAATGTAAGACCTAAAACTATAAAAGTCCTAGCAGAAAACATAGGGGGAAATGCCTGACATAGGATTTGGCAAAGATTTATTAGACATGATGCCCAAAGCAGGGAAACAAAAGCAAAAGCAGACAAACAGGACCAGAGCAAACCAGCAGCACCTCAAAGCCCCCTCCGCTGCGGAGGTGGCCTCACCCACGCCTCCCAGCCCCCACCCCACTTGAGCTGCTTTCCCATCCCTCCACCTGCCTCAGCCTCGGTAAGGGGTTCCCCAAGGCCCCCAAAGGTTGGCCCCAAGCCAAAGACTGTCCAGCCACAGGGACTTCTCGGAAACAAGGTGTTCTCCTGTGAGAGAATTTCAGTTTCTCTTTCCTTCTGGCCAGGTCCGGGGAAGGGACCTGCGGGTTCCCCTGTCTCTGTGCCTGGGTGGCCTCACCCAGACCCACGTGCTCCCCTGGGTCAGGACTGGCCCCGCCCACGAGCACCTTTCCCGTGCAAGTGGAGATTCCAATTTCCACTTGCCTTTTCCCTTTACCTACATCAGCCGGGGCTGCCCGAGGAGCCTGGCTAAAAGCAGAGCCATGCAGCGGGGAAAGCAGTGGGGATCTGGCCATGGCGACAGCGTGGATCCTGGTGCTGGTGACCGTGCTGCTGGACTTGACCAGAGCGGGCCCTGTCCCTACTTCCAAACCCACCTCAACCAGGAGGAGCTGCCTCATGAGCAGATTCCAGTCTCTGTCACCGAGGGAGCTGGAAGCCATCAAGAAGGCCAAGGATGCCCTAGAAGAGTCGCTCTCGCCGAGGACCTGGAGCTGCGGCTCTCGCCTCTTCCCTCGGGCCAGGGACCTGAGACTGCTGCAGGCCTGGGAGCGCCCCGTGGCCTTGGAGGCCGAGCTAGCCTTGACACTGAAGGTCCTGGGGACCATGGCTGAATCGTCCCTGGGGGTCGTCCTGGACCAGCCCCTCCGTCTGCTGCGCCACGTGCACTCGGAGCTCCAGGCTTGTGTCCCGGCTCTGCCCACAGCAGGACCCAGAGCCCGGGGCCGCCTCCACCACTGGCTGCACCGGCTCCAGAAGGCCCCAAAGGAGTCCCAGGGCTGCCTCGAGGCCTCCGTCACGTTCAACCTCTTCCGCCTCCTCACACGGGACCTGAAATGTGTTGCCAGCGGAGACATGTGTGTCTAAGAACCCAGGCCCCCACGCTCAGCCCGCCTGGGACCCGGACCTTTCCTAGGCACCAAGCCTCACCCCTGCCTTAAGTTATTTCCTCTCAACCCCTTATTTATTGCAGCCCTGCTCCATACCCATAAGAAATGTTTATTTTTCTACTTTTGTACAACGTGCAGCAAATAAACAGGAATGGGGGGAAAAAAATAAAGAGCCACTACTCCGGAGACTGAGAGAACAGAGGAACGCGTCAAACAACAGTGCGGCTGCAATCAGCAGAATGCAGGCTCGGGCAAGCTCGGAAGGACTAGAAATCCAGCTTAACAAAAACATCTCAAGGAGAAAAAATATGAGGAAGATGGTGTCCCTACACTCTACAAGGACAGCCTTCAGGGTAAACGTGATTTAAAGATCTATCCATCATTGCGGTGTGGAGACCTTATTTGAGCCCTGATACGGTTTTTAAAACATGGATTTCTAGGACAACTGGATTTCAGAACGCTGATTGCATACCACTATTAAAGAATTCTAAACACTTAGGTGCGATAATGATACGGTGCACTGAAAGTCCTTGTCTTGGGGAGCCTGGCTGGCTCAGTCAGAAGAGCATGGCAATTTTTGATCGGGGTCGTGAGTTCAAGCCCTGCGTTGGATGTGGAGATTACTTAAATAAATAAAACTTTAAAAAAATAAATCAAAGTCCTTGTCTTTTAGATACACACACTGAAATAATCACAAATGAAATAGCTATCTGGAATTTGTTTCAAAGAAATTTAGGAGGGAAGTGGATGGACAGATAGAAAGAAGGGCGCCTGGGTGGCTCAGTGGGTTAAAGCCTCTGCCTGCAGCTCAGGTCATGATCTCAGGGTCTGGGATCAAGTCCCGCATCGGGCTCTCTGCTCCACAGGGAGCCTGCTTCCTCCTCTCTCTGCCTGTCTCACTGTCTACTTGTGATCTCTGTCTGTCAAATAAATAAATAAAATCTTGAAAAAAAAAAAAAAAAGGAAAAGAAAAGAAAGGAGACCAGGTCGGCTGCAACTTGGTAACTGCTGAGTTATTGAGTCTGGGTTCAACGTACATGAAATTTGTAAATAAAAAGGTTTCTTCAGTGAGAAAATGGGGGGAGGGAATGTGGTTTAAGCAAGGTTAATAGTTCATTCCTCTCTTACATAAAAACTCTGGAGGTAGGCAGGGCAGGCTGGGTACGATGGCGCTTCCTGAGCCTCAGGGACCCGGCCCCTTCCAACTGCTTCCCCGCCCTCTTCTCCACTTGGCTTCTGCCTCAGTCTCACAGGGCTCCTCCTCTCCAGCCAACACAGCCATTCCAGCCAGGAAGGAGGAGCAGGGTGGGAAGAAGGACAAGATCCTTTGAAAGACACATCTAGGAAGCCACACAAACCACATCTCGGTCCCAGCGACCAGACACAGGCACTTAACCATGCCCGGCTACGGGAGAGGCTGTGATAGGCAGTCTTCGTTTCTGGATGGCCATGGGCCTAAAAAATCAGGGCTTCCATTACCAAGGGAGAAAGGGTGAGAGGAGAGCAGGGTTCAGTTTGGACCATCTGCCACCGTCCTTATCCCTCTGAGACTGGTAATGAGGCGTGGGGGGTGCCACAGATGGGTGCTGGGAGCTGGCAGCAGAGCTAAGGGACAGCTGGTGGGCCTGATGATGTTAAATATGCTTGTCACTTACATCCCCGGCTGAAGCGATCTGCTCTGAAGTCACCGCTCTGCTTTGGATGCGGGAGTGAGTGTCTGGCTTCCTCTGCTCTCCCGGGGCCGGGTGTGCGTCTCCAGGAAGCCACTGTGCCCAGCAGTGCCATTTCCGATGCTGTAGCTAACACCAACCCCAACGCTTCCCTGGGCCTGGCCTGGATGATTTGTTTGCCAATGCGTGAAATGGAGAAAAACTGCTTCTTCTCTCCCCGACAGCTGAGGTGCCCTGTCGGGGCCAACCCAGCGGTGGTCAGTCCTGCAGAGACTCTGCTGCTACCGAGAGCCTGGATGTCCCAAACCACGGCTGCTCTTACACCACCCTCACGGTTTTTGCCATACATCTCGCTTTCAAGTCAACCTTCCTTTTAAAAAACCCCTAAGTTGATTTCTGAAGTGATCTACCACGGCTGCAGATGGAAAGCAGTATGGCCTGCTCCAGAGAGAAGGCAACCAGACATCCGGCTCAGACTCTGCACGTGCCCAATACCCGCTTCCTCCTCGGTCAAGACAAGCCAGCAGTGAACGGACTTCCTCCTCGGCATTTAAATGGACCAAAAGAATTAAAGATGTAATTAATTTTTGTCATTATGTCCTCCAGTGTTACCACCAACAATCGTTTCTCCTGGAGTCTGTGGTCCCAGTCCTAAGAAACACAGCTGAGGGGCGCCTGGGTGGGTCAGTGGGTTAAAGCCTCTGCCTTCGGCTCAGGTCATGATCCCAGGGTGCTGGGATCGAGCCCCACATCGGGCTCTCTGCTCAGCAGGGAGCCTGCTTCCTCCTCTCTCTCTGCCTGCCTCTCTGCCTACTTGTGATCTCTGTCTGTCATTCTGCACACCTTACAGACGGGGATCGTAATACGACCTAGCTGACAGGAGAGCTGAACACTGTTATATGGGATCATGCACGTAAAGTCCCAGCATAACCCAGCTCACGGTGTGAGCTCACGTATGCCGAATGCCGGCTATTATCACGTCTCAGTTCTGTGGAGGAGAAAATGTGAGTCCTGTCATTGAAGAATGCGGTTTGAGCAAAACAAACAAAAAAATCCAGGCAACCCAAACTTCAACAGCAGCAGGGAGCGAGGAACATAAAACCCCAAACGCTTGGTTTAATAATGGAAGACACTTTATTATTTTTTAAATCATCTCTCAACATTTCAATTCTTAGAAATCAAATGTAAAACATCTGCCTTTTTAAATTAGCATATATTTTATCCAGCTCAATCACAGCAACCTCATACAATAAGGTACACACCAAGGGCAGGGGCAGAGCGTTTTCTGTTCCAGTCTGTGAACACAGCATCTCCGTGATGACATGTGCGCCAGACCTTCTCTCCCAGGATGAGGTGGGCACTCCTGCTTCTGCCCACGGGGGGCACAAGTGACCTGGCATCACGGTTGGTAGAGTTCCCGTAGGCTGGAGCGATCTGGGAACGGAAAACTAGCAAACTAGTGCTCTCAGGAGTAAAACAGGCATCGACACTTCTGAAATGTGGAAAGAACATCAAAGATGATGACCCGAGTGGGCTGGTCTTAGTAATAAAGGGGTTGAAATTCAGCTGTATATACACATTGAGTATCTACATGTGCTCTACCAGATATATAAAAAAGAGCCATAGAAGATTTGGAAAACCGTAAAATCACTCGACCGAGTTGGAAGAACATCAGCAAATTCACAGTGACCTCAGGATTCAGCCAGATTTAAATTTGCTCAAGAGCTGAATACCTCCTTCTACTACCAGAAAACCCACTGCATGTAAATTCCTATAATATTCTGTACATCACAAACACTTATGGCTAAAATATAGTAGTTCACAAGGAAGTGGTTTTATTTTCAAATTCTTGCCCCACTCCTGCTCTGCACCCCAAAAGGAAGATCCAGGGGTCAGTCACTCAGAGTTTAAGGGGCCTTCAGGTTTGGAAGTGCTGAGGCTCAGCTGAGTGTCTCAGGAAACGTCCGTGTGATGGGCACACGCTGACTCGGGCCCACTTTTAGTGCAAAAAAGATCACTGATGTCGCAGAGTCCCGGAAACAGGCAAAGAGGGCTGAGATGGAGGGGAGGGGGAATCCCACAGGATTTTCCTTCTGAAACAAGACTCCCAGAGGTTTGGAGTGCGAGGTTCACATGCAGCAAGAGACAAAGACCAGGCTGTCGATCTGCAGGGTGAGGGTCCTGAAGGTCTCTAGGTTATCGCGGTCCACCCCCCGCCCACGCTAGCCCCCTAAGTGTACACTGGAGGTAGGTATATAGAGATTTATTGTAGGGAAGACAGTGGCTCTCCACCGACTCCGGGACATCATCTGTCTCTGCCCCCACACTCTCCGCTCTACCCTCGGGCTATGGTGTGTGTAGGGTACAACATGGAAGGGCACAAGACCCTCCCTTGGAAGACTGAAGAACCCAGGCCGTTTGTATAAATAGCTACATAATTCATGTTTTAACCACTTTGAAACACACGGCAAGTTGAATATTTATTTAAAAATAAATCTCAAAAATATCTATTTACAGTACAGTGAGAGGGGCATGTGCAAACAACAGAAAGGGGAACAGTCCATCCTGCCATGGAAGGCCACACCTGGATGTGCTGGAGCAAAGCGCTCGGACACACGGGCCGAACTGAGCTGCGGTGGCAACAGGATGCCATTCAGGGACAACTGGACTCCGCCCACCCTGGAGACCTGGACAGGCGGAAGTCAGCGGGGTGGAGGGAGTCCAGGTGGGGATCCTTGTGTTTGGGAAGGGGGTGGCCAAAGGATGAGCCATGGGAAGAGGCCCGGTGTGGCAGGAGGGCTCATTTCACAAGCCAACAGGCCTCTAGCTCGGCGCTCCAGGTGGGCATTTGGAGGTGACCTGGAGGGCCCTTCCCAGTCCAAGTTGGCTTTGGAGTGGTGGTGGTGGTTGGCGGGGCGGGGCGGGGGGGGGGGGGGGGGGAGCCTGTTGACAAAGGTCTCGGAGTTAGAAATCCTCTCCGAAAACAAAACAAACAACACAACAGGGAGTGGAGAGATTAGCAAGAATGAATCTGAACGGAAGTGCCACCCTCTCCCTTGTCAGGCGACAAAGCAGCCATCAGATGAACTATCTGGGCCACCCAGTGAACTCCCACATGGTGCAGCCAAGCCCACGATCCCCTGACACCTACATGGTCAGATGCAGGTCTCTGCTTCTGAGATCAACACACTAACACTTCTTCCCCGGAGCGGGGAACCAGAAAGTCAGTGGCGTAGCCCTTGGAGCAGGGGGTGCAAGGTCCAGTCTATCTGTACACGAGATGGGAGAGCTGGGTGGACTTGTAGTTCAGCTGGTGGTTGGGCATGAACTTGTGCAGCTCATTCTTTTTGCAGCAGGGGTCGTAATGGTAGGCGCTGAGACAGCCGTCGCAGGAGACTTTCGAACACTGGGTGCAGGTGTTGGTGGCACCCGGGCGGTTGCAGAAGCCACAGCGGGAGGTGGCTGTGGTGGGGGTCTTGGGTTTTGGGTGGAGGTGCGGCAGCCGCTCGAGGCCCTGGGTCTGGCCAGCGTACTTCTCCCGCAGAGACGACCCGTGGGCCAGGCTGTCGTGGGCGGAGGGCTTGCCGGAGAACGCGCCGGGCTTGGGGGCTGGGGGACCGGTGAGCAGGCTGTCACAGCGCTGGCAGAGGGAGGAGTTGCAGGACAGCCCACAGTTTTGGCACTTGGACAGGGAGGACTCTTTGGCGGGGGGTGAGCGCTTGTGGTAGACGGGGTGGGCATCGTTTCGGACCAGCCACACGTCCGGCCGCAGGGCGTCCTGCCTCCGGTATGCGGCCCTGGGCTCCGAGTCTGTATACAGATCCACGTCGTCCTGAGCGGAGAAGTATGTGCCACGCAGCAGGCTGAGGCCGTTGCTGGGGGAAGGGGACGGCAGGTCATCCGGGCTTCCGTGGGGTGAGCTGGACATGGTCAGCAGCGAGGCAGACGGGCGAATGATCTCATCCTTGAGGTCGTCCCCCACGTCTGGTGCCGCGGGCTCCTTCCGCAGGCTCAGCGAGGCCTTCAGGGGTGGCTTCCGGCTCTCCCAGTAGCTGTCGTAGGCATCTACCGACCTCGAGGGCTTGGTCACCCTCGGCTTGTAGTAGTCCTTGGCTGCCCGCTCGCTGGCTGACTTCTGCAGCGCCACGCGGGCCATGGAGGCCGTCAGGTGCTCCCGGCCCTCGGCCCGCCGCCGCAGGGCCTCCGAGCAGCCGCGCACATCCTCCGTGCTGCTTTTGCGCTCGTTCACCACGTCCAGCTCAGAGTAGCCCTTGTCCTTGACTTGTGAGTGGATTTCCAGCATCTGCTCACACTCCACCTTGGCCAGAAAGAGCTCAAAGGAGACCATCTTCACCTGGAGGGTCTCCACGAGCTCCTTGAGTCTGTACGCAGTCCCTAACTCAGGCACGTAGCCCATGTAATGCAGGATGGCTCGGATGTCCTCTTCCAGTAACGATGACTTGACATAATAAACGAAGGGGCCCGTGTAGGTCTAAGGAGAAGGGGATAGAAAAAGAGAGGCACCGTTTGCTGAGACACACGCAGAGCCGGTTCCAGAGCCCGGCACGCCCAGGGCGGAGCCTCTGGGAGCACAGGGGAGCAGCGGGGAGGATCCCGGCCTCCGATCACTGCGGCAGGCAGAGGCTGGGCCCAGCGCATCGGGCGCAGGAGACCGCATGGCACTCCTGCCTCGAGCAGAAGGTACAAAGCTGCCGGCTTCCCATACGGGGCTCAGCGGCTCTGCTCCAGATGAGGAGGAAACAGGGCAAATGGGCCTGAAGAGAAGGTATGAGAGTAGAAGAGGCAGAACGCCCAGTGAGTCAGTAGAATATTCCTTTCGGGCACGTCTGCAAGTTCTGAAGAATAGTCTGGCTTTGTGGAAACTCTCCTGAGCCACCACCTGGCTTCGGAATGATTCCGAGTTCTCTTTCTCTCTTAAATCCATCCTCCAGCCTCCTGACTGTTATCACCCAGTCCAAACCGGCTCTCAGGGTACCCGAACGTCCATGGCGGCCTCCTAACTGTTCTCGCCGCCCCACTAGTCTATTTCCTATCCAACAGCCAGAAGGATGCTTTGCAAATGGAAACCTGATCCTGGCCTGCCCTGCTTCCCAGCCTGCTTAGGGTCAATTTAAGCCCTTTGCCTTGGGCTTCAAGGCCCTGCATCACTAGGGTGCTGCCTACCTTTCCAACCTCACAGCTTCACGTGGGAGCTGCCAGGGGCAGGGACCAGTAAAGAGATGACACTGGTCAGACAGCAAGTAGGGAGGCTCCCCCAGGGGGTGGTGAGGGGAGTATTTCTAGTTGTTACGGCAAAGGCAGTGGGGAAGACAGGAGAGTCTGTGGGCAGAGGAGGCAGTAACTGGCACAAGCCCTCTCAAGTGGGTCTGGCAGGGGAAGAAGGCAGACCAGTGCGGATGGCCCTTCCCTAGACCTTACCTTGATGCTCCTGAATTCCTTCTTCCACGGGTAGAGGAAGAGGTTGATGCCCACCGTTTCCAGCACGCTGAAGGCGCAGTGCAAAGCCCGCAGGCTGCAGGAGCTGAGCGAGCGCAGGGAACTCTCCACCACCTCATAGAACTGGATCAGCCGGAATCGATAGAAGGGATCCACCTTGTGTAGGCTGAGCAGGGCCGAGGCTGCCACTCGAAGGTACTCATCACTGCCAGGCCGCGGCTTGCTGGGGGTGGTGTCCACTCTGCCCTCATGGAACTGCACGTACTTCCGAAATAAGTCATCCTTATACTTCGTATCCATTGAACTGGGCTTCCCCATCTGATCCAGAGACGGGGAGGGGCTACCTTATCTCCTCCATGGTTTCTGGGTTCGAGGCAGGGCCATGGCTAAAAGCACTGACATGGTGCCCACCCGCACTAGGGGCGCGCTCTGGAAGGGGAAGAACAAGAAGCACGTCACTCCTTGAAATGGTCCACGTGCCCGAGCGTGGCTGCTGAGACAAAACGAGAGGCAGAACTGGCCTGAGCTACCCCGGGCATCACCAGCCCTAGGCCCCTTTCTGCTCATTCACTCTCCACATTTACCGAACACAGACTATGTGCCAAGTTGTTGCGGAAACGAACAGGTCCCTGACTTTGCTGAACTCATGAATGAAGAGTACAGTTCGAACCTGGTTTCGCAGGGAGGAGGAGGAGGAGCCCGGGCAGTGGTGGTCAGACCCGAAGAACGAGGGGTTCGCTGGGCAGAGAGGTGGGCGGAGACCGTAACAGCAGCAGCACCGCCAGGGAGGAAGGCCCCAAGCGAACACTGTTGGCGCCTACTGTGCGCCAGGCACTCACGCACACGAACGCATTTCATTGTCTTAAACGACCCTAGGAGGCAGGATCCCCATTTAACAGATGTGAAAATTAAGACAAAGAGATATTAAGAAAGTGCCCAAAGATCTGGAACCATGAAAAGGCACAGCTGAGCCCTGGTGGCCTGGCTCTGAAGTCTCGCCCTTGACCGCCACACCCTGCTTTCCTGAGGCAGGAAGGAGCGTGGCCTTTGAGCAGAAAGCCGGCCAGTGCTGCTGAAGCAGCGAGGGCAAGGGAAGGGGGTGCCCAGAGATGAGGCTGCAGGCACCATCAGGACAGGATCCCACGCCCCAACAGTACATTTTATGCAAAGACGCACAGGAAGCGCCTGAAGAGCTCGAAGGAAGGGGGAGAGGGCTGTCCTACCAGGGATCGTCTCACCCGCCTTTCACAGCCTGCATTTCCCCATACCTTCATTTATTTATTTATTTTAAAGATTGTATTTATTTTTTTGACAGAGAGAGACACAGGAAAGAGGCAACACAAGCAGGGGGAGTGGGAGAGGGAAAAGCAGGCTTCCCACAGACCAGGGAGCCCAATGCAGGCCTCGATCCCAGGACCCTGGGATCATGACCTGAGCCAAAGGCAGACACTTAATGGCTGAGCCGTCCAGGCGCCCCCGCTACACCTTTAGAGAGGTTTATAGTCCCACTGGGAGAGGACAGAACATTCTGAGCTGGGCTACACCAGATTTATACACTCTCGCTGTCTGCTTGGCCGCTGGTGAGTAGAACATGCACAGAGCAAGCAACAGAGCTGGTGCCAGGAGGCCGGGAGCAAATCTGGGTTCACAGAGGGCGCTGCCAGGGCTGGGGCGGGGGGGTGCGGTGGGCAGCGCAGCACAGGTGTCACCAACAGATCCCAAAGCCAGACTGCCTGGGTGTGACTCTTGGGTCTGCTTCTCTGGGCAAATTACTCAGCCTCTGTGGGCCTCAGTTTTACCCTCTGAAAATGGGGGTTGATAATAGTACCTACAGTCCATATTTGGTGGAAGGTTATGTGCCATGAGTATATAAAGCTCTTCACAGAGGACTGGCTCAGGACAAGCCCTTGACACACACGAGCGGCTACTGCTGCTCTCTGTCGGGCCAGCCCCCCTGCCACACAGCGCGCGTTCTCAAGAAGCTAAGATCAGAGCGGGTAAATATGTCGGCCCAGGAGGCGATGTGCACTTCCATCCTCGTCTGTTCTGACCACTAGCTACAGGCACGGGGATCCTGACTAAATTCCTCGTTAAGGGAACCCAAGCACAGAGCCAGGGGCCTGTGCTTCATAAGCACCTGTCTAAGTGCAGGAGGCTCTTGCCGGCTGTGGAGACAGCGCAGGACCGAGAAGGAAGCTGAGGGGACGGGACAGCCCTGTGCAGGCCGTCAGCAGATCTGGCCTCAGCTCAGGAAGTGCTAATGGCCTACAAACCTGGCAGCAATCATGAGGTCCATAAAGTCATCCACATCTCGAGCCACTCGCCTGGCTTCTCCTTTGAGAAGACTCCTGAAGATCATAACTATGAGGAGAGGGTGAGCTGTGCGGGAGAACTGGGGACAGAGAGGCCACCTTCTCCCACCCACCGCCCTGCCAAGGGAGCCCAATGCTTCAGGGACAAATACACTTAAAGAGCACAGGAGGCAAACATAAGTCCATTAGGATAAAATTCTACCTCCTGACCAAGGTCAAAGGCTTCACATGGTCTACTCCTGCACCCCTCCCACAGCCGTCTTCCCTTTCCCTCTAAGTTCTACCCACAGGGACCTTTCTGTCTGTCCCTCAAGCCCACCAAGCTCATTCCTGTCTCAGGACCTTTGCCCATGTTCTTCCTCTGATCCTTCCCATAGCTGGCTTACTCTCATTACTCAGGCCTTAGTTCAAATGTCACCCCACGGGGGCCTCACGGGCAACCCCAGCGCAGCAACTCCCTGCTTCCCGGTCCCTTGTTATCCCATTATCGTGGGATAATCACCATCTGAAATTACCAACTTTATTTATTCATTTACTAACTTCCTTTCTCTTTGTACCCCCCGTTACCCAGTAAGCTCCACAAAGGCAAGGACTGTTTTGTTCACCATGGTGCCTAACACATAGCCTGGCACACAGTAGGTGTCTGATAAAACAGGCGAAATGAATGACTGATTCAAGATGCCACTCCTTTGGTTTCTCATTGAGCTCTCCCAAGAATCCTGAGAGATCAGCTGGAGAGAGAAGGAACAGAAAGGCTCCATGACATGACATGCCGTAAGGAGCCAGGGTAAGTGAACCCAAGATTCCGAGCCTGCCCTCTGCGGCACTGTGTTCCTTCCCATACCCTATGATTCCCGAGTTCAACAAGTATTTATGCAGCACCTATCCTGTGCCAGGCTCTAGGATGGGTGCAGTGGGAGGATACGGGGTGGGTAGGGGGCAGCAGCTGGGAAGCCACAGCCCCGCCCTCAATTCTAATTGAAAGAGCTTATTATCAAAGGTATTGCAACCCAAGAAAAGACATCACTGTCCTTGCTATTAAAAACGCATATGGGGGTGCCTGGGTGGCTCAGTTGGTTAAGCCACTGCCTTCGGCTCAGGTTATGATCCTGGAGTCCCGGGATCAGAGTCCCAGGATCGAGTCCCACATCAGGTTCCCAGCTCCACAGGGAGTCTGCTTTTCCCTCTGACCTTCTCCCCTCTCATGCTCTCTCTCTCTCTCAAATAAATAAGTAAAATCTTAAAAAAAAAAAAAAAAGAAAGAAAGAAAAGAAAACGCATATGTATTTACCATTTTTTATTCATCTAAGAGAAACTTCCATCCTGTCTCTGGTTCCAGGGACTATTTTTTGGTTCATCTGATAAGAATTTAAACAGAGGGACATCAAGCCTCCTAAATACTGCTCTGGTTTTTCTCCAAGGAAGTCAGCTTTGAGCCTATAGAGGCGGATTTTTTTTTTTTTTTTTTTTTAACAAAGTCAGCCACCCTCAAGCTCAGGGCCTGCTGCTCTGTAATCACTCCACAGTCCACACCCTTGTTTGCTGCTAGCGCACAATAAACAAGGAAAAGGGATCTGAATAGCCCAACTGGTATTCCAAATCCTAAAGTCAAGGAAAGGAAACCAATCTATGATGAATCCTGAACCAACACATAGGCAGGTGAGGAAACAAGTGAAAGGAAATGAATGCTGAGATAAGTAAGGAAAGAGAAGGAAACAAATAATCATTGAGGTCCTACTATGAGCTAACAGGTCCTTCGGCTTTAACTGCATCATCCCACTTAACCCTCATGCCGTTAGAAGGAAACCAAGGTTCGGCCATGAAACCACCTGCGCAGTGGAGCTTCCAAGGGTCAGAGCTGGAGTTTGAATCTGGCAGGCCCTGAGGCCCAAGGCAGAAGTGGATCTGAGGCCCGAACCTAAGTCCAATGCCAAATCCTTGACTCAAGCTCTGAGCTAGGCCGCTTCTAGAAAAAGCCGCCCTGCGGCACCTGCTGGACAGCTCTACTTGAAAGGGCTAGGCTAAGTTAGAACACCCTATGGCAAGACGAGCAGAGTTAAGTTCTAAAAATTCCTATAGTAGCAAAATTCACATCTTCCCACACAGAACGGGGCTGGAAGAGCCACAAATCTCTTTATGATGTAAGCTCAAGGGCCAAGGGAAGAGGCTGGCCAGAAACCGGCCAGTGGTGAGGCAGCTGACATCATCCCTCCTGAATACATTTTCTGAGAAAACAGGCTGCACTGTAGCTGGTCATAGCTGGTGTCTGTTCTGAGCACAGAGCCCGCAATTTTTTCCCAGCACTCTGCGAGAACAACAAAAAAACACACTCTCTGCAAAAACAGCGTGGTTACAGGAGACTAGACAGCGCAATGACAGAAGCCGTTAATTTCTCCAAGCAACCCAAGGATTGGAACACCATGACGTGCCAGTCTGGTCGGGGGGGGGGGGGTTGGCACTGTGAACATCCCTAACAGCGTCAGGCGGGTGCCCAAAGCCAACAGGCCTGGTCAGCACTTCCTGCACCCACAATCTGGACTCCCTTTGAAAAACAAGTCGATGAAGAGAAATATTACACATACAGTCAGAGAGGTGGCGGCTTTTTAAGGATTTTTATCTTTCTAAAGATTATTTTTTAAGCATCTCAAAGGAAAGCTGCATCTGTTTAAAACCTCACCGAAAGGAACTGAAATGATCTGGGGGTAGCAAAGCATTAGCTTGGCTTTACCTCAACTGGCCCATTCAAGCAGAACGCTCCCCAAGCAGCATTTGAAGGCGCCCCCTCCCTGCACAGCCAACAGCTATTTTGGTCCCAGCAATGCCCCAGTCCACAGGTTTACAGATCTCTGGTCTACCTTCAGCCAGCTCTGAGTTCCCTCAGCCTGCAAAGAGCTCCGAGAGGAGAGCAAGCAGTTCAACCCCTCCACCTCCTAACCCGTCACTCCTCTGCACTCATTCCAGTTCCAAGGCTCCTGAGACACATACATCTACGGCACGCTGCGCTGGTTGTGAAACATCGGAGGGTCTCAGGACCCCAATCAGATTCCAGAGAAATTCAGAGGCCTTGCAAACCTCTGAATAAAACCTCAGTGGTGCTGAAAACGGGCTTCCTTACTGGCAGCTGCCTCTCAGAGGGGCTCTAAAGGAAGCAGTTTCGCCTCCCCGAAGGGGCAGAAGCTAGCGGCTGCTATTCCCAACCTGGTCATTCCTACGGCCTCTGAGGGCCATACCGGCTGTGAAAAACACCCCAGTCCCAAACTCTGACCCTCTCTGGGTGCATGAATGAATTAACAGCAGCTATCATTTATAGGACGCCTGCTGTATGCCAGAGACCGTGCTTCACAAGCATCATCTAATTTGATCCCCACCACAGCCTTAGGCACGTTCACTTCCTAATTAGGCAAATGAAGCTCAGAAGATGAAATGACTTGTCCAAGGTCACACAGTGAGTACAAACCCAGATCTCCTGCCAGAGACTAGACTGGGGACTACTGCGCGGTAACTGCCTCCCGGTGGAGTCAGGGTGGCCTCCCGCTTGGTTAGTCCCCGAAGAGGGGTTGTTCCTGCTGAGCTGCCCTGAGCCACCCATGGCCGGTCCCAGGAGTCTGCGAGGCAACCCTCGGCGGAGTGAGGATCCTGAGGACAAGCTGGGCCCTCGGGAGGCCGAAAAGGCAGTGCCGCCCGTCGCCCCCGCCGGCTGCAAGGGGACCCCACCCCCGGGTCGGCCAAGCCCCGCCGAGTCAGGCGCCCCCTCTGCCCTGGGAAGCGCTGGACGCCGTTTCCGCCCGCGGCCGCCCCGCACTCACCCCGGCACTGTCGCCGAGGACTCCCGGGCCGAGGAAATCCAGAGGGAGCCGCGGCCGCCGCCGGAGCCTGGCCCGCCTGGGCTCTCGTCGCCCCGGCCGGCTGCAGGGTACCGACGCCAGTACCCCGGGACAAGCGATGACCCGGAAACACTCGTCCAGGAAGTGACGTCCTTCGGAGGCGGGTCCAAAGAGAGGACGGGTCGCAGCTGCGCGTTGCGCCGGGGAGAGGCCGAGGGTTGTGGGCGGCGGAGGAAGAAGCGGGAGGCAGAAGAATGAGCAGAGGTGTAGCGGAGTCCGGCTCTAGGGCTTGGAGGGTCGCCGCCGCGACTGGGGCTAGACCCGGAAACAAACGAGCCGGACGTGACGCAAGGCAGCCTCAGGATGGTGGCTGGCCGGGTTGTCATGGGAACCGGTCTGGAGCCGGGCGGCGGAGGCTGGGACTGTGAGCGCAGACTGAGTGACCCCGGCCTCCGCCTCCCGGACGGGTCCCTTGTCCAGGTGATCCGCCAGCGGCGCTCCTAACAGCGCCTGAGCAGGAGCTAACAGTTGGAGCCCTCGCCCCATTTTACAGACGCAAATGCCGAGGCTTAAAGAGAGAAAGTGAGATCCCTAGCATCATGCGAAATGAAATCTAGCCTGGAGAGGACTGTTGATGTTACCGGCCTTCTTTAAGAACGGGGCTCCCAGCTTTGCCTTTGCCACTTACTAGCTGCGTGAATTTGGGCAAGTTACCTAACCTCTCTCAGCCTCAGCTTTTTCACTTGTGAAATGAAATACTAATAATACCGCCTGCGGGCATCCATGTGAGAGTTAAGTGATTTAACACATGGAAAATGCTTATTACCATAATTAGCATATAGTAAAGCTCCAAGTATGTTTTGTTTTTAAAACCTGTTTAAGTCAAAGAAAACGACCTCTCTCTGCACTCAACTTCCCTAAATGGAAGCCAGCGTTGAGGAAGTCCAAGCCAAGGTGTTGCCTCCTTGCTTTGTAACTTTTCACCAGACATCTGGAGGTACCTGCATGGTCTACACTGGCATCAGTCATGGTGGCTTGTCACTTCACTTCATGGATTTGTCTCTACTCCCACCAAACCGTGAGCTCACCAAGGACTCTCAGCTTTTGTGGTTCACCACTCACTGAATCCTTACTGCTTGCAAAGTGCCTAACACATATCCAAGACTTTGTCCAAAATATTTGCGATCGGATCATCATTCTCTCTCTCTCTCTCTCTAACTTACCCTAGACATTTATTGAAGACTCAAGAGTGGGGCACTTGGGTGGTTCACTCAGTTAACCACAGGATTCTTGAATTCACCTCAGGTCCTGATCTGAGTCGTGAGCTGGAGCCCTGCATGGGGCTCTGTGCTCAACCAGGAGTCTGTTTGGGATTCTCTCTCTCCCTCTCCCTCTGCCAGCTCTTGCTCTCTCTCTCTCTCTCTCTCTAAATAAGATCTTTATTTATTTTTTTTTTTTTTAAGAGAGACTCAGAGCCCACTTCATGCCATGTTCTCTTCCTCCATCTTGCTCTTCTACCTTTCTGGCCTCTGTGGCTCTATATGCTCTTTTCTCAGTGTAAGTGTTCTTTCCCTCACCTCTTCCTTTCTATACATATACATATACATATACATATATGTATACGTGTATGTATACATACATCCATTCATTCATTCATTTTAAGCCTGACATCCCCCCGAAGGCCTGGAACTCCTTACTCATCTGTCTCATCTGTGTATCCCCTGAGTTCTGCACATTTCTGATCAGGATGTGCCCAACAGATGCTCCTTGATTGCACTATTCTCTCTCTTAGCCTTAGTGTCCCTAGCTACAGTCAGCGGATCTTGTCTCAGAGGAGTCAGTGATACAATACACAGGGAAGGATATGGAGAACCAGCAACATGCTATTCAAAGAGCAGTGATGACTATATCTGTTGCTCTCTGAGCATCATTCAAGGTCTTTGTGTATTTCATCCTTTATCAGCTCAGGTTTAAGCTCCTTGTTTAATCATTTGCAAATTGATGGTGTTTATAGGAATTTCAGCTGAGAAAAACCACAGAACTTGCTGGCTTTGCTACGACTCAAAACTGTTACAAGACTGCATGAGACTATTAAGAAGCCCCTTACTGATCTGTGGTTCTGTGGCAGCCAAAAGGGAAATAGATTTTTAAGGAGGCTTTACTAGTAGGAAACCCTAGTCATTGATATGTGGTGATGTTTTGTATCAGAGAGGGCCCAAAGTCTCTGTAGAGAGCTGTGTTTCTCATCTTTTAGACAGGGTTGAAGACCTGAGATTTCTCTGCTTGGGGATGTGGAATTACAGAAGCATCCTTTTCAGATTTCATTACATAATGATTAGCAGATTATATAACAGTCACGTGACAGTGATTAGGCACCTCTACTTCCTAAGAGCCAACAACACAAAAAATCTACCTACTTCTTTCTATTTTTTACTTTTTCATCACAAAAATAATGCATGAATTCCAATGATCAGATGTGTTCAGAACAAAAAATGAAAAAGAGAAGTAACCCTATGACCCAACAATTTGATGTCTTGGAATCTACCAGATAAACAAGCATAACTACACTGAGAGACCTGTTGCATCCTTGTTTGTAGTGCAAAAGCGAAAACCGAAAGCATTCTAAATGTCCAACAATAGGGAAATGAAATATCCATACTCATGACTACTACGTATCACTTAAAAAAGATGATGTAAACCTATTCAACTCTGCAAGACATAGTGTGGGCTGAAAAAAAAAAGACACCCCTTGAAATGGAAAACAAAACATCAACCAATACCATATATTTTCTAAAGGTATGTGTGTATGTATAAAGTCAACAGAGGACAATAGTGCAAATATACATCATTTTAAAAATTTTTTTAAAAGATTTTATTTATTTATTTGACAGATGGAGATCACAAGTAGGCAGAGAAGCAGGCAGAGAGAGAAGGAAGCAGGCTCCCCACTGAGCAGAGAGCCCGATGTGGGGCTCGATCCCAGGACCCTGAGATCATGACCTGAGCTGAAGGCAGAGGCTTTAACCCACTGAACCACCCAGGCGCCCCCATCATTTGTTTTTTAAATCATCCTATAAATACATATGATATGATTTTAATATCTTCCCTAACAGTCAAATAAGCTCTGTGAGGACGTAACTCTATCGGTTCTGCTCACAATTATATCAGCACTATCTGCCATATACACACTACCCAACATGAAATAGGAGGTTCAAAAGTATTTGTTTCTGATGGAAATTGTCATTGAATGCCAGGTTTGATGTTAATATTTAAGGAACATACTATGGGCAAGATGGACACAGCCCCTGCCCTCAAGGAGTATATAGTCTCCTTATCAGAAAGAGAATATTAGGGGCACCTGGGTGGCTCAGTGGGTTAAGCCTCTGCCTTCAGCTCAGGTCATGATCTCAGGGTCCTGGGATCGAGCCCCACATCGGGCTCCCTGATCAGCAGGAGCCTGCTTCCCCCTCTCTCTCTGCCTCTCTCCCTACTTGTGATCTCTCTTTGTCTGTGTCAAATAAATAAAATCTTAAAAAAAAAAGAAAGAATATTAATAAGAGTAGATGGAGTAAAAATCTATAATTCAGGATAGTAGGTGGTAAATGTTAGGAGAAGGGTATAAAGCTTATAGAATGGAGATGTGACCACCAATAGGGCAAACTGGGGGCGGCTTCAAGGAGGAGGTGGCATTTGAGTTGGGCTTTGAGTGAGTTGGATATATTAGGATGTCCAGCTTTCCTTGCAGCTAGAGGGAAGAAAGCAATTAAAAGCAAGGACCAGAAATTAATACTCTGCTGCCTACAACTGTATAAGGTAAGCAAAACTGGGTACTAGAGTACTACAGTCTCATAATACATATTACCAGATATTAGTAGTAATGTTATCTAACACAGTGGCTGGCTCACAGAAGGCATTCTATACATGCTTTAGTGAGAACACTAATGTTATCAATCCTCTACCATGCTCCAACCAATTATTGCCAGTTTCCCTGCTGACCGTGATCAGATACTCAGATTTCTAAAGAGGAAAGAAGTCCAGATTTTTAAGTGAAATTCCTCAATTATAAACACCATGTGTAAATACACTTCATAGTTCTGTCTGCTGAGAGAGCCTACAAAAAAAAGACACCCCTCTAACAATAAGCACCTAGTACCCAGATCTTGCTTTCTAAATACCATTCTCTACTAAAAAAAAAAAAAAAAAAAAAAGCCTTCTTGGAGAAATGACTGAGTTTCAGTGTTGGGACAGGGAAATGACAACATGAGCCTGGACCATGTTGCTGAGCCAGAAAGTAAGGATATGCCAAAAGAATCATGTGACATTGAAAGGACACAAAAGTCAGATTAGAGGGGTTTCTTCTCTTGGCCAAATCTGGAACAATTTGAACATCAAAATAAGTAATGATAGTAATGAATTATAATCCTTGGTGGGGGAAGAAAGCATGATCCCATACTGATACTAAACATAACAACATGAAATACTGTGCTGGCCAGAGGAACGTGTCCAGGGCTATATGTAGCCCCAGGTACCAGGTCTGACTTCTGCACTAAGGATGGATGAGAAGCAACAAGTAGTTCAGCTGGTTAGAGAGATGAATGCACAAGGTGAGCTGAGAATGGGGTGATGGGAGATCAGCCCAGTCTCTGAGGACCTTGAAAGTCAGGCCAAGAGTCTGGATTTGACCCCTGGAAGCACCTAGGAACCAGTGAAGGTCTGTGAGCGGGATAGATGGTGATTATAGCCCTTGCTCTCCAGCTCAGGTGTCTGGTGCTTGGTGGATAGGGTATGGTGCATGTAAGGCCCCAAGAAACACGTCACATTGGAACAGAAGTGATTCTGCAGCTGGTACACCTGAGTTCAAATTCCTGGTACTGCATATCATGGCCCCATGAGTTGGACAAGCCACTCAATCTCTTAGCCCCTCTACAAGCCTGGACTCTGGAACCAGAAAGCCTGGATTTGACTTTGCTGCTTCCTGTGTATGACTTTGGACAAAATGACCTAACTTCTCTGTGCTTCAGTTTCTTTACCTTTGAAATGAGAAATATAAAAACAGTACTTACTTCCGTACAGGTTATGAGATAGTCCATATAAGCACTTGACATAGTAAGTGCTCGTTAAGCATTATCTATTATCAAGCCTTTTTTAGTAAGTGGGATAATGCATGGGAAGAACTTCACCCTGGGAAGTTCCAGTGCCTGGAAGGCGCAAGCCTGCAACTAATGTTGTC